CCGGCGCTTTGAGAGCCGTAGCGTAACACAAGCATCACTCGCGGCTTACGCGGCTATCGCAAAAGATTTTGCGAATATTCATTTAAAATATGTACATGTGACACATATTGATATGTTTTAAAAGGAATTCAGATAACTGTAATAAGGACTGTGTAACTTCGATCATGTTTTGTACATTTGATTTGGTTAAACATCATTAAAATATTAAGTAGATTTTGATGATATGCTTGTAGCTACAGAAGTGAAGTATTTCTTTGTACAAATGCCAATGTTTTTAAACTATTTTAAGGAACTATTTTCATATTTTTTTATTGTAATAATTAGTAGAAATATTAATATTGATTTAATAGTTAATACTTAGCCTATGTATTTACTAGCGATCACCCGTGATGCCATCCCTGCGGAATTAAAATAAAACCTTAATAGGTAGCATATGTTGTGTAGGGATACCTTTTAAATATCCATGCATTTATCCAAACTTTTGCATTTATAATAATAATGATTAAGATGTTATTTTTGTAATTACATAAACTTTCTCAAATAAAATATTTTTTCAGACTAAATTAACGTGTAAAATAACCAATAGTGCACTCACGTAAAAAGGTCAACTTAATTTGGTCGCTTTCACTCCCCGCGCAATCATCGTGTAATTGTGCTGAGTCACGGATTTACTTAATCTAATTTAACTTGACCCTGTCTTGTCCAATTTCTATCTTTACTTCAGCATTTTTAATAAGTAATTAAATCAGTAGGAGAATTCTTAGGAATATTCTTTCAAAGAAAATTAACTTAAAACTCCCGGTCTAAATAAAGCATGTACTAAATAGCACACATAATATGTGAGTTAGTTATTTTACTGAAATGTTATGTAAGTAGTAATTTCATCGCTTTAAAATTATACTCCTGTAATTTTCGCGTCGCAAATAACATTTCAGCTTCTTTTGGATTTAATAATGTCAGGCGCTTAGGGCGAATGAAATTTTAAAGTAAGCCTCGGTTCCTTAATTCATTTTCGGAATAAAATTTAAAATCAAGTAAGTCCGGGTAGACGAGCGATTACAGAAACTCAGTAATATTAAATTATAAAAATGAAATTTTAACCAGATTGAGAACGAATTTGTTGCTTTGTGGATATGTGTAAAGAGATATTTTCCCCGTAATTGCATTTTATTAATTTTAATATAGTCAGTAACATTTATGGGTTTCAAAAAAATATTTACTACTTTAATGTTATAATTAAATAAGAAAATGTAAAATAATTTAAAGTTTTCCCGCTTTCGAGTAAAAGTTGACGTGCAATTGTTTCAATGTTCAACAAATCCGGGTTAAGCGGGCCCTTAAACCCTGAAATAAAGTGTAGGCAGGAGGAATGCCGGTTTTATATTCACCCTAGAGACGTTTGTCGCGGAGACCCTCCTTATACCAGTCACTTGAATAAGAAATTGTGTTGTTTTGTCTCGACTCATTATTTTTTAAACAACTTTTAAAAACGAAAATAATAAAAATAATTTTAAATATTTAATTCAAATCTTTTGTTGTAAAAGTTTCATCTGTGTAATGGTTGTCGACTAATGACTTATACAGGCGTGTTTAGTCAATCTTATAACTGAAAGTTTTAAAGATTTTTATTGTAATTGATTACTCGGACGTAATATATGATAGCGTCGGTGGCTCAGTGGTCAAGCACTAGACTTGCAATCTGTAGGTCCTGGGTTCGAATTCCACTATTTACCAATGTGTTTTTCAATATCCGATTTACATATGTATAATACATTTATCCGACGTTCTTACGATGAAGGAAAACATCGTGATGCAACCTGTACATATCTGAGAAGAAATTCAAAGATATGTGTGAAGACAACTAACCCGCACTTGGCCAGCATGGTTGACTATGGCCTAATCACCCTTAACTTAGGGTAAGGTCCGAGCCCCTCAATGGGGACGTATAGTGAGCTGATGATGATGAATATATGAACACAGGTAATAAATTAGTATATGATTTGCTCAGTACGCGTGGTAATTCTAATTCATATGCATCGTATGTCTCTCTCTGACCTATTTCCCCGCCACAAAATGATCTAATGTCAAATGCTAAATTCGAAAGGCATTGTAATACAGGACTAATTATAATTACAAACTGAAATGGAACAACGATTATTTCGTAAACACAATAGTTACGTATAATTGTACCATTTATATAAATAATAGTTTAATAAGGTAATGCAAAGTTAAAGATCATTATTGTTTTTTTATTCTGTTTATCAACAACAATACTTACAGAATAAATCCAATACGTCCCGTTAGGAAGAAAATCCGACACTTTCCCGGTGTAGTGGCACAACACTAGCTTTACTAAAATGTCCACGTTTATGCCCCTTCACTAAACATTCTGACACTTGACTTTGTAAAGAAAGCACGTCATTCGCGCCAATGGATTTTAACTAATAATGTCTAAAAATAAATTACAAAATAGCTTACAGTGATAAAAAATAACAATGAATAGTAAAATCTACATATATAAACAAACTAGATGGAGCATCCAATAAAGCGTAGCTTCTTTGTAGCGTAGACGTCCGTTATTTAAGTATTTTTTTGACGTATATTTGTGTTTTTTTATATATCATAAGGTGGCAATCGAGCGAGCGGCCTGAAATCGCTGATATAGCTAAGTGACCAGTTTCCATAGATACATGCAATCGCATATGCGTTGCCTACCTTTCATCGACGGAGGAGAGTATGCACAGAGAGAAAATATTTTCCCATCCAATGCATCCTTTCATCCGGAAAGCCCACTTCCACTTCCCGTCCTTTCCTTATAAGGAAAAGGTTGGGAAGGGAAAGAGGACTAAATTATTGTGTTTTACTTTTAGGTTATACATGCATTAAAATAAAACAATATCTTCTTATTTTATCTTAATAATATTTTTTATTGGAACATGATTTAGTATTCTAATATGTCGGTAACAAACACTATTGATTCACATCAAATCAATACTCAGAACTTCTAAAGTTGATAACCGACTAGTTTTAATTATAATCAGTGTTCCATGAAACAGTACAGAGAGCGTGTACAGTTGTGTGCAATTAACTATAGTGAATGTTGTAATTAGCATCGTGTGGTACAGTCAGCAACATCGGCCGCAACAATACTGTACCGAACACAAACGGCACCTTATTACTTGCTAGTACTACACATGTAATAAATTGAAAACGATTATGACATTAATTAACGCATTAAGTATCTTATATTGATCTTCATCATCATCAGCTCTCATCAGTGATTAGGATATAGTCAACCACGCTGGCCAAGTGCGGATTGGTCGACTTCACACATATCTTTGAATTTTTTCTCAGATATATGCAGGTTGCATCACGATGTTTTCCTTCACCGTAAGAACGTCGGATAAATTTGCATATGTAAATCGGAAATCGAAAAACACATTGGTATATGGCGGGATTCCAACTCTGGACCTGCAGATTGCAAGTCAAGTGTTTGACCCCTGAGCCACCGACGCTTTATTGATACTATGGCCTATATAACCCTAACTTTGCGTAGGGTCCGAGCCCCTTAGAGGGGATTTATAGTTAGATGTTGATGATATCTTTTAATGATTACTTAAACACTACCTTAGTGAAGATTTTTCGAAACCAGGTTTTATTATTGGATGAGAAATTTCATACAAAATAAATGAAAAAATATTTTTTATTTTTTACAAGTTCTGTAATCATTTTAATGAATACAGCCGTGTAATACGACCGCGTGACTATCTCCCAGACTAATCACGTTAAGAGATTCTTGGAAACATATTAATATGAACGCTTACTTTACTGTCTGCAAAGTTCTTTAGCATATATGTATATCGTCTACGAAAACAAATCGTTTTTAAAATTATTGTTAAGGTAATTATTGTAAAGTCCTGAGTTTATAAACTACTAGCTGTCGCCCACGACGCCGTTGAACAAAAAAAAACTTAAGGTGTAGCCTAAGTGTTCTTCCAGATGACTGTGTTAAATTTAATTAAGATCCGTTGAGCCGTTACGGAGATACTTTCAAACAAACAACCATCCATCTAAACATTCGCATTTATAATATTAGCAAGATTTAAACTGAAATGTTCCAAAATAAATCCATAGATAATAAATGACATTGTCAGCCAGTTACTTTGAATCTCGTTAAAATAATATTTAAATATATATTTAGATATAAAATTTACCTCGCGGCTAAATATTATTTTTCTCGATAAAATAATGAGACAACTACACTGGGGAAATGATCAAAGCTTTGTATTAGAGGAAATGCCTCATTAAAATTTTCACTCAGATTACTAAAGTATTTATCCTTTTAATTTTACAGTATTACTGATAGATCATTTTGAACTTATGTAAAAACGGCTAAACACTCACGTATATTCGTTCGGTGGCGGCACCGATTAGTTTCGAGTCCACCGGGGGCCCTTCTTCCAGAGTGAGCAACGGGCCGCAACCGCGAAACAATACCAATCCCACTCACAAGGAAGAAGGGCCCCCGATGGCCTCGAAACTAGTCGTTGCCGCTGCGTGAGTGTTTAGACGTTTTCATATAACTTTACTATAACGTCTCACGAAAGTTTGAATAATTTGATAATTTTGATGCGTATTAGATAATTTACGTGTCAATAGTTTTAACTTTGAATACATCTGTAAGAAATAAATCTATTACTATTTTCAAACTTGATATTATAAATGCCAAAGTTTTGATCGATGTATGGATGGATATTAGAAACAGTGATAGAGTGTCTACTGACTGTGTTCTTTATGGATTAAAGATAGGTAAGGTATTTTCATATGAATTTGCCACATTAAGATATTAAAATACTCTGGAATTGCGTATAGCCTACAAAGTTTTTGTAAATTAGTTCCGCCCCTCAATCATTTTAAAAATAAAACGACACTTGATTTTAACACTTTTATTTCAGAAAAAGCAATGTTAGTAAAAGTAAAAATGATTACTATAAGGCCTAGTACACACTTGTGAAATGAAATCGCAGCGATCTTTATGACACTTGTGCGCGCATTATTTTATAAAACCAAAAAATCGCGCGATAAATAATAGTGCGCGCAAGGCCTTAGTGATACATATCAGCAAACTTCTTGAATATTGACGTGAGTTTCCACTGCGGAATCACTTTGACAATAACGTCTTGATTTTGTAATTTTGAATACATAAGACAGAATACAATATTAAGGCTAATTGAAAGCTAAAATTAGCAGTCATTTGTTCAAGAAGTTTGCGGACAATATGCAAAACAAATTAGCATCGCGACAGATCGGGAAGGCTCTTTTCCTTGCAGTACGCGTAGGAGGAGGGCCAGGCCTTGAAGCCTACTCTATCATAGATCCTCTTCGCACACCGTACGTCGTCAGCCAAGTCCTCGTTCACTAGATCTGTAACATAATAAATACTTATTAATATACTAGCTGTCGCCAGCGACTCCGTCCACGGACCGATAATTAAAATTAGTAGCCTATGTGTTCTTCCAGACTATTTTCTAAATCTATATCAAATTTCAACGGGATCCGTTCAGCTGTTCTGAGATACCTTCAAACAAACATCCATCCAGTCATCCAAACATTCGCATTTATAATAAGATGTTATAAAATACTTTACTAACTAAATAAAATTGAATGCAGTTCCCAAAACCTAGACGTATTATTCAAAATGCCCGCGTATGTCCCATCTATGACACACCAAGACAAAATAAAATCCCTCACTCGTCAAAATTGGTCGAGTCGTTTCGCCTACATGCGGATACAAACATACCCATGGAAAACATAACTGTTTCGGTTATAAAGAGATTGAAATAGAGAACACAATGTTTTTGCACTTGTTTCGGCAGTGAAAACGCGGGACGTGAAACATGTTTAGAATAACGAAGTAGGAAGTAGAGTAAGCTCGCAACTTAACACTCGCGCTGCTGCCGTGAATCACGTTGTTTGACTAAAGTTACAAGTTTCTCGAACGTGAGTGAAAATAATATATTCGCCGACGATACGGTGTATTATCTAAGACGACCTGACTTATATTAAGGTGTACTTTCACTGGGCGAACATCTTTAAAAAATTCTCAAAGGTTTTATGTTTGCTAAATTGATATCTCTTATTAAATATACGATTTAAGAACATTACGCTAACAATTAACTACTCGTGACTAAGGCAGTTAATCTATATGATTATAAATTAATTAAACGAGCGTTAAATGTTTTCTTTTTAAATTGAAATAAATGAGTTTTATTAAAAAGATAACTGTATCGTTAAATTCCTTACTAATAAATAAAGATTAGAAGAACATTCGCGCGGGGATTTCACAAATTATCGAAATTAAAAGAGAATTAGTGAGAGGTTAGCTGCGCGCTGCGAGCCATAGATAATGCTAAAAGCGAATCTCCATTCGGCAACAGATGCGGCACCGAATTGGGGGCGTGTTAATTAGATTAGAGGATTATGTTCTATATACCTTCGCATTTCATGCTGCAGTGGCCGCCTTTCCTGCCCTTTTTACACCATTCCTTGTTGTTTATCTGTAAAACAGTAAACAAATCATTATCAAGACTAATGTCAATTCAAATTGTTCAAGACTCCAACAATCGATGTTATTAAAAAGGCGGTAACATGGAAATTGCATGTCTTTTTACTAGAAATATTTCCAGTAAAATTCTCGGACTAACGGAAAAGACACACGTAGCAAAGTAACTACTTCAAAGTTCAGATTCATTAGTTGGTTACGCCCTCATATGTGATGCGAGATATTTCCTGTTCACTCATGTCAAAGCGCGTTGGTTTTAGTCCTTGCTTTTCCTTATCGCGCATTATACTCGTCAACTGAATCCCCGCACGACGCTTGCTTACATCGATTGGTCATTTCTATTTTTCATAACCATTGCGGACACCCATGCGTGCTCAACGACCGAGTTATCAACTAAAGAAATTACACCTTAAGATTTACTTTCTAGGACTAAGATTAATTTATCGCGGTATACTTACTATTTCTCTTTTTATAGTGTTTGAAAACAATATCAAAATTAAATTAATTTGAAATTAATTTCAATTTCATTGTCAAAGTAAGCTGGTTCATTTGTCAAGCTAACTGCACCTACCGGGTCCCGCAAAGCGGTCTCGACGACAACGTTCTAATAATATTCCGTCTCCGATATTATTCCCGGACGTTCAGATTGTCTGTCTGTCGGCTCTAATTTGATTAATCCCGGAATTCGCTACAAATTCTATTTGAGAACTTCATTCGAACTAACCCCGTCAGTAAAGGTACTCAGTAATTTGAAATTTTATATCTTATTACAATGTATTATATAATATATTGAATTAATTAGAAAATATATACTCGACACCTTTTATAGTAAGAAGTTTTATCATTTCATCTACGTCTTTAGTATAGCTGTACTGTCGACTCTGTCTGCGCGGAATTCAAAAAAACTTAATCAGTAGCCTTTGTGCACTTCCGGGCTATGTTCTACATCTATGCCAAATTTCCATCATCTATGACAAACATTCATCCATTCATACATCTAAACATTCGCATTTATAATATTAGTAAGAAGTAAGATAAACTAATTGCATGTTTTTGCTAGTAACAGTTTTCTAAAAGAAGACGAAAATATAAATCTGCGTACATTTTTATAGCACTCTACTGTATTTTTAATAACCGTTTCTTTGAGCCAAAGCTAGTGACTATGTTTTAAAGTTCTGCATTGTATAAGTGATGCATTTTTCGCATGATTGCATTACGAATGAATATATTTAACTGCTGGTTTTTGTTCAATAAATTAAATCGTATCGAATAACACAATACACCAACTAAACAATCGAATAACGAGATTACGTATTTAAATAAAGATAAACAAACACGTTATAATAATTTGTGCTATTTTAATTAAGGCTTAAATACAACAATAAAATGGTCGAATGAGCGCACAGAAAATCCCCCGTGAAAATCCTGAAACGACATAACATAAAGCGATATGGATAATATCGCCCGTAGGCATCGTCAATGCGACGTTCAAATAAATAAGCGAATTAATTAAAAACGTGTTTGCTGACAAAATACAAAATGCAGGCGGGACGGCCATGTCGGTGGGAATTTGCATTTTTATCGCGCCCCTAATGGAGAAATGCGTATCGGCCATTTTTAAACGAGCTTTTTTTTTCGGGAACGTCAACGTAATGACTTCACCGCGCGCCTAGAATAAATTCCTCTTCCCAAGTTAAGCTTTCGATCAACAAATAATTTGGCCACAGACTATTAAATTTGCTTTGGATGAGAAAATAGAATTTCGTTAGACCATGCTTAAGTAGGCCAAGTCTGGACTTATTGAATTTATGTTTGAATTTTTTAGAATGAAACCAAGTGCCTTTTTTTCTTTTTAATGCTTATTTTAAATTATTTTAGAATACCGACTAATAATATTCTGTAGAAAGAGCCATTATGACATTACTTGGGTAGGTTTTTATGCAGAAAGTAGTATGTAAATCTTTTAAATCAAAGAAAGTCTGTAAAAATTTCTAATAAAACTAAATACTAATAATAAAACTAAACTTTATAATATACTTTATAAATTACTATTATGGTAAACTGAAATTTCTAACTAACTGTGACATGATAAAAATATAAATGCTAGCTGCTAGCCGAGGAATTAAAAAAAAAATAGCCTGTGTGTTCTTTCAGATTATGTTCTATATGGATGCCAAATTTCATCATGATCCGTAGAGCCGTTCCAGAGATACCTTCAAACAAACATCCATCTATCTAAACATTCGCATTTATATTATAAGTAAGAAGTAAGATTATTAAAAAATACGAATTAACATTTACACCATTTTCAATTATATTTGTCAACGCTGTGAAATAATGCAATACTCGATGCGGTTAAACGATTAATATCTCAACCGCAGAGCTTAATGAGGGACAATCATTTTTTGCGGAGCTCCAAACGCGACATCGGATTACACTCGAAATTTTAACCGAATCCGCATGTCCCATGATAATTTACTATTATTAAATTCAGCACGCACCACACACTGATTATCGACCATAATTTTAAATTAACACACAACTGATTAATAACTGCTGACTGTATCATTTGAATAATTAATGTCCGAAAGATTTAATTTAATTAATTCACTGAAATTAATTACGAAATATCTAACCGTCTCTGAGGATTGCTTGTCTGTTTGTCATTTTGTTTCTATTTATTACTTTCATTATTAATAGTCCTATTGGGTGTTTTATATCTTTTTTCAGTCAGGAGTTTTGTAGCTAGCTATATTATATGCTAGTAAATATATTATATGTCGGAGATTTCCGAGCGGTTATTCAGTCAGTGCGCACACCGGCGCGGGCGCTGTCCCTAGACCAAGCCTATCACTTGTCAAACGACCACGCGCACTACTGACAGATACAGTTACACTGACAGACGTCAGTCATGCACCTTACAAGCAATGTTGCCATTCAGGCAAAATAATTAACGTCACAAATTAATATTTTCCGACATTTAAATTTATTTACTTTCAAAAATAATTAAACTGAGCCTTAAAGTAGGTACTAATGTCATTATTTTTTACTCCACAACTTTCGCCTATTATGTGTAAGTTATAAAAAATTTCATGTAGTTAATATTAACTTAGTTATATGACGCTTTAAAATAGGTTATTATGTCCTTATTAAATATCTTAAAAGAGAACAAAATGTCTGCATTGCGTTGGTTGCATTACAAGCTTAAAGTCACTTAATAAGCTGTTGTTTTAAAATTCTTGCAACGTGGAACTATAACGATACTTGTGCTGCGCAAGAAAATTTTAAAAGCTCTATTCAACGTGTATCGTGTTTTGTTTGAGTCAGTGACTGGACATCAGGGTACAATAAAAGTATATGTCGGTATTGAATATCAAAATGGCTTAAAGCAACATTAAAATCTGTTAATGTTGTGGGTACAAGTGTTGTTCAGGTTCTTATGTTTCTAGACTTTGTATTTGTTTTTTAAAAATTAACTTTATCTTATATTCTTTTGTATTGATTGATTTAAAATAAAGAAAAGTTATAAAATATTTTTAGTCTACGTTACATCTACGTCCATTTCATTTGTATAAATGTACAATAGTTTACATTACTAAACATATTAAAATGTAATTAGGATCATCATGGCATATGTGCCATGATGATCCTAATTACACCGTCAAAATTACGTGATAAATAATTTATCTTAAAAATAACTATCACCTGCGATACCGTTTGCCCGAAAAAAAAACTCCATTGCCTATGTGTCCTTTCAGACTATGTTCATTAATCCATCCATCTAAACAATCGCATTTATAATATTAGTAAGATGAGACAAACAACGATCGCATTTAAATCAAAAACGTCAATAAAATTGCGAACTCCAATTTTCCAACTTCTGGTGCAAATTACGTCACCTTGTAGAAAGAAAGGTAGTCCGAAATGCAATTTCAATGGAACCTTATCGCATGCGGCGACATCTAGCGGAGGAAATAAGTATCAAGTGTCGAATAAACGTCCGGAACTAAGCTCCGGACGATCTTCTATTTCTTATTGCGTGTCTGCCGCACTATGCCTTGTCATCTTTAAATCCGACTTCATTGAACATTTTCACAGCGGCTTTAAAAGACTTCAAAAGGATTTATTATTAAGTTTTTAAGATATTCTTTTGTGGCTTAATCTCTGAAAATCTAATACAGTATACTTCTTACTTTTTAATTATATGAAAATTTAGACGTTTGTTAGAAAGTATCTCCCGAACAGTAAAACGGATCTCGGTGAAATTTAACATAGAAGTAGAACATAATCGGGAAGAACAAATAGTCTACTAATTGTGTTTCTTTTTTAATACGGCGCAGACGGAGTTGCGTGCGATAGCTAGTCTTCATTTAAAACCAGGGAATAATTTAGATGACACTGTCAACTTTCTATTTTTTTGCCTACACCTCATATTGTCCAGATGACATCCTAATGAAAGTTTATCTAAAAACTGTAATGAAAAAACTATACTACTATACTCGATGAAATTTGGCACAGATTAAGAACAGTCAGATCTGTTAACAGTTCTGATAACGCACAAAGAAGATCTGGCGCCAATACTAGCGTTCCTATTCAATGATGTTATGACAACCGAAACAATCCCAAACCAGTGGCTTAACTCAACAATAATACTCATCCATAAAAAAGGAGACAAGTCCGATATAACTAACTACAGGCCTATAAGTTTAATGTCAAACGTTTACAAAATGTTATCTAAAATAATCCTTAGCCGAATTACAAAAAAACTCGACGAAAACCAACCACGAGAACAAGCTGGATTTCGAAGTGATTTCTCGACCCTAGACCATATTCACGTTGTCAAACAAATAATAGAAAAAAGCAACGAATATGGAACGACCTTCTACTGCTGTTTCGTGGACTACTGTAAGGCATTCGATTCACTCGAACATGAAAGTATCTGGGAAGCTCTCAACAACCAAGGTATAGACAAAAAGTATATAAGACTGATTAAAA